ATGACTGTCTAGAGTCTAGAGGTAGGTTTCATGCTGTCATCCTGTCATGTGCTCTCAAACCATTTACAGTGGTTTCAGAGTAACAATTCCGAAAAGGTGGTTGTCTCAGGATCTCCATCCAAGACAGACATCTTGGGGTGCCAGTGCCATCTACTCTGATGGCCCACTGTAGGGTGAATAGCATCGTTGTTCAGGCTTTCTGAACTGGGTACCGATGCGCGAGCTGTGATCTCAGGTGGGTATCCTCAAGAGATTCCAGCAGCTAATGGGGAAGGCGAAGGAGCTTGGGCCGTCATTGAGCCACTGATTGTCTTGTGGATGCCAGGTAGACCAAGATATTGTACCCCTGCCTACCACACCCCACAACCCCCTGTTAAGCTTTGAGTTCTTGATGATGCGTAGTGGTAGGAGGAGCATAAACCTGCAATATGTTTTATGTTATTTGTCGCAAACCATCCGAACACCTACCAGGCATGTACAATTATGTATAGCCAGAACTGAAGCATACCGCTGACTGCATGGCCCAGTCAGACGTAGCCCGCGGTCAGGAAGCACCACAGCCGGAGCCGAAAGAGGAGCCTGAAGAGGAGCCGAAAGAGGAGCCGAAGGAGACAGATGAGAAGGAGAAAGAGGATGTCAGTGGGGAGGGGGAGCCTTCCCCATCGTCGCCATCGACGCCTGTCATGGGCGATAGGGGGGAGAAAACAATTTGGAGATATTTGGAGAAAGGTTTTCAGGTCGAAGCGGGGTGTGTCAGAGGTTGAAGTTGAAGGTGGATGTTTTTGCTCTGTTTTTTTGCGTTATTTTCCCGCACAGTTCGGAGCTGAGGCCGACTTCACCCCATTCCGATCCATTCACCAAGTTCCTCAGCACCCAGAGCGTGCTCATCGTCACAGAGAGCGGCATGGGGAAGCGTGTGGCCTTGAGCGACCTGAAGCTGATGTCCCGCAACAAGAAAGGGGTGCAAGTGAGGGCCCAAGATACGATACCGTGGCCGATCATCGATCGGATTTTTTCCGTGGCTTCATGCGTCTTGCTCGAAGGGGAGTGTTGGGTGTGTCTCAGGTTACCTTCTTTTGATTCGATCATGTGATGGCTCCAGCTGTTGGTGGTAGTTCCCCCCTTTACTTGCTCGTGCATGTCGTGGAAAAGGCCGAGTTCATCCGTCCCTGCGGCACTTGAGAAACAGACAGTGGTAACCGGAGCACTGGTAGACTATGCCTGATCCAGGGAAAGCCGCGGAGGAGGAAGACGACGACAAGGAGGAGAGCGACAGGCAAGAACGGGGGGGAGCGACGTCAACGGTGAGAGACAAGATGGAGGGCTACAAGTGGAGCGACGCTGAGTGGGCAGAGTGGAACAGGAGGTGGCAATGGGGTACCAGTTGGCAAACCAGCTGGACGCAGCACACCTCTGGGGAGAAGAGGGATTCCGAGACTGGAGTCACGGGGGTTCCAGCCTCGGCTATGCCTTCTACTGGGGTAGACCACTCAGATCCATGGCAGCGTCCCAATGTGGATCCTTGGTCACGGAGGACCTCTATGTCAGGAGCACCTCATGAATCAGGACGACATGATGGATGGTGGGGCACTCAGACCTATCACAAAGGTGATTACAGTGATCCGCCTTCCTGGTCCGGATGGGGTAACTACAGATTGTGGCGAAGAGCTGTGATTCGATGGAATGACCACACAGACATCGCTGTCTGGAGACGAGCTGATCGTGTGTTGCGCACCCTGGAGTGGGATCTTCAGGCCAAGTTGGATCACATCTCCGAGGCCACCTTAGCCAGTCCGGCCTTCCTGACGGAGATTCTCGCCGTCCTCGATGTGCTCGCAGGAGAAAAGGCAGATTCGGAGCGCAAGAGAGCAGTTAGAGCGGCTCTCTTCGAGGGTAGTCGACGAGCCGACGAAAGCATCGCGCAATATGCTCTTCGTCGAGAGTCTCAGTTTGAGGTCGCCAGTCGCTACATCACCTTGCCGGACGATGTGAAGGGCATTCTTCTTGAAGAGCAGTCTGGCTTGACGAAACAGGCCATGCAGAATCTCAGGGTGCTGACGAAGGGGCAGCACTCGTACTCGGAAGTGAAGAAGGCACTTCACGTCCTCGATGTTGAAGAAGAGAGCATGATCAAACCAGGCAAGGTCAGCTACTTCGAGGACCTTGCTGAGTATGCGGAGACCGACCTCGAGGACGACGACGAGGAGATCTTTCTGGCCATTGAGAACGAGCACGTGGCTGAGGAGGAAGCGGTTGCTCTCCTGGCTGACTTGCAGCAAGACAGGAGAAGAACGTGGAAAGAAAACAAGCTTCTCAAAGCCGCCAGGAGGAAAGATCGCAGACATTTTGACGACAAGAGTTCGAGGCCTGCGAGACCTTTCAATCGGAGACGGATGTCGGTTGAAGAGCTGAAGAAGATCACGTTTTGCGGCAACTGCGGCAAGAAAGGGCACTGGCGTGAGGACTGTTCAGAACCAGTCAAAGACAGCAGTCGTCAGCCAAAGACCAAGACCAATGCTTTTGTGTTTTTGGGCATCTCCGAGGAGGCTAAGAGCTGAGCGGCCTTTTTCCTTGGAGCCTTGTCCGATGCCAAGTCTATGAACGGAGCGTGCTTTCTGGAGCTCAACCCAGGTCAAGCCATAGTCGATCCCGGAGCATCTCAGGATCTCATTGGCCTACCGAGCTTTGAGAAGCTGCAGACAAAACTAGCACGGGTTGGACTTCAAGCCATCAAGTTGGATGAAGCTCCAGGCAAGGCAGCGGGAGTGGGTGGCTCCGCCAAGACACTGTTCATGGCGCTGTCTCCCTGCATCCTGGGTGGACAGCCAGGAATCATCAAGCTGACCGTTGTTGAAGATGACGTGCCACAGCTCCTTTCCATAGGTCTCTTGGAGCATGGCGAGGCGGTCATTGACACCGGCACGGACAAAATTCATTTTAGGAAGTTCGGCACCGAAGCGCGCATGACTCGACTGCCGTCTGGTCATAGGACACTAGACGTGGCCGAGTGGAGCGGTGGAGATTTTCCAATTCCTGAGAAGCTCACCAGGGAGCTGGGACTATGTCCCGGTGCCTTCAATTTGAGCCCCTCTGCGCGTCGAGCATATATGTCCGGGTTTGCGTGCTTTGGAGATCGCAGTCAGCTCTTTCAATTCTTTCAGATTCAGAAGTCACAGGCAGGTGAGGTTCGATGGTTGAGTGAGCATGTTCTCGGTAATTTCGTAGAGTTTCGAGATTTTCCCTCGGATTTCAGTGCTGCACGTTTTCGATCGACATGGTTGGTTCTTGATGGCATGGCATGGCTTCTTGAAAGAAACGCGAGACGCGCAGAACCAGATGTCTGTGATTTCACTTCACATGTCATGGAAGTAACAGACTGCCCACTTGAGTCCGTTGGCAAACATTGGTCAAACTCTAGAATTGTTTCCCTTTTTTCCACCGAGCCTCTACTGCTGATTTTGAGAGATGATGTTTGCTGCAGAGTCGGAGTTGGCCGTCCGAACGCCGTCTCAAGCCAGATTGACGAACGTGACAAGCCCGTCGAACCATCCCATCTTGATCCTTCCGCACATGGCGGCATCCGGACTGATGTCCAACAGAGTGAAGAAGTCTCGCATCAGATCCGAGGCGGACAGCGAAGCCTTGGAGAATCATTGGTATCACTTCACTCGGAAGATGATCATCATGCATGGCGGTCCGAGGGCATTGGAGCGATTGGACAAGACAATTTACCAGGGCGACTTCACACCTTCCAGGGCCGACGCGAGCGGAGTGATGAAGCTTCCAGCTTGTCAGCGTCCCAAGGAATACGAGGTCAAGGGAGCCAACCAGCACGGGACGTGGACCAGGTGCTCTCTGTGTCAGACCAAGACCAGCTATGTGAAGTACAGCAAGGACAACCCTCCTCCTGCAGTACGCAGGAACAAGTCTGCGGCAGTGGAGACCTACGTGAGCGCTCAACCCATGCCGAGGACTCCCATGGCTTCAGGTTCAGCTGCCTCGACGAGTGCACTGATGCCGGATCTGGAGCAACTGCTGCAGGGTCAGACGCAACAGCTGACTCAGAGCACCGCGGCGGTCATGTCTCAGGTGATGTCCCCTGTGGTGGAAGGGTTTCATCAAGCCCTGCGCTATCAGGCCGAGGAGATGCAGCGATCTCAGGAACGTCAAGAGACACAGATTCAGCAGCTGTTCCTGGCTCAACAGCGCATCATGAGGCAGACCGATCCTGCCTGTCAGCCGGGTGCTGCCTTTCCGATGATGTCTCAGGAGGAGCTGCACCGGCGAATGGCTCAGAGCTTGGCCATGGCTCAGGGATATCCTCTTCCACCAGACGAGGAGGAGTGGGATCGTGTCTCGGAGAACATGAGCGGTCGCTGAGTGGCGCGGCCGGAGCAAGTTTCACCTCGTGTCAGTCAGCTCGGGCCCTTCAGTGTATAGATTCTAGCCTTCAGAACTGGCTTCTTTTTCCTTGCAATAAGGCTTCTAAGAGGTATCTCGCTCGTAGGGGTTGTCAGGACTGTTTTGTTTGTACTCGGCAGACGGATGAAGGTGACCAGTTGATTTTTCTTGTGAAGGATGCTGAGCTTGTTGACGATCTGGTGTGTGGTGACTACCCTGAGGGCAGAGAAGCCCATTTGACGAAGAAACAGAAGCAGCTGCTGTTGAATTCATTAGAGCGAATTTCCACGGAATTCAGTCATGGGTCAAAGAACCCCGCGGAGAGTACGAGCTCAGAGAAGTCTGACAAGAAATCTCAAGAGCCTGAAGGCCATCAAGAACAGTCACAAGAGTCCCACGACCGTTCAAGAAACCTTCAAGAGCCAGAGAGCCATTCAAGAGTTCGAGAGCATTTTGCCGCCACACTCTCCGAAGGAGAGCGAGAGGATAGAGAAATCATTTCCCGACCGATTCGATCGAGCCGTTCGAACCCACCTAGCTCGTCAGAGCTTAGAGCCCTAGGGTTTACCGATGTTAGACCATGCAGCCATGGAGATGTGATGGAGAAGAGTGCCACTCCTCAAAAAGTGATGGAGCTCTTTTCCCCTCCTCGAGTTTCCATCAAAGCAGTGGCTCAGGGGCTGACCCTCACGGAACCGAGCAACTTTGATCTCACAGAAGGCTGGGATGCATTGAACTATCAACACCGACAAGACATGTGGAAAGTGCTTCGGGAGCAAAAACCCGATGTAGTGATCATGAGCCCAGAGTGTCGGATGTTCAGCCAGCTCATGGCAACCTGAGTCGGATCCCTGTCGAGAAGTTGACGAGAGATCAGATGAGAGCTCTCATCATGTGGAATCTATGTCTTCAGGTGGCTGATTTTCAGCTGCAGAATAGGAGGCATTTCTTTTTGGAGCAACCAGCTAGTGCCTCCTCATGGCAAACGCACGCGGCCCGGTGGCTTCTAGGGCAAAAAGGCGTGCGGTTCTTCAGCTTTGATCAGTGCGAACTGGGACTGCAGGTGAGTGCGGAAGGCCTGTCTAGGAAAACAACATCAGTGGCCACTAGTCACGCTGGCATTGCCTTCCTTCTTTCTCAGTATCAATGCACCCACGGTCATCAACATGTTCACCTGGAAAACGGTCTTCCTAGGCGAGCACAAGTCTACCCGGAGGACATGGTGCAAACTGTGATTGACGGCATTCTAGCAGGTCCAGTGGAGTTCTCCGGCGTGGCAGCCGATGATCATGATCTGATGGATGAAGAGGCTGAAGATCAAGAGGAAGCTGAACCTCAGCCTCGCACCCCAGGCACCTTGCAGAGAGATTCATCTGTTCTCCTGACAGAGGAACAGAAGAAGAAGATACTGCGGATGCACCTCAACATGGGACACCTGTCCAAGGAGCAGATGCTTTCCATGCTCAAGGCAGCAGGTGCTAGAGAAGGCGTCTTGAAGTTTGTCAAGGAGAAGTTCGGATGCACTTATTGCATGAGACAAAGGAAACCCGTGGAGCGACGACACGCGACAATTCCCAGGACTTTTTCCTTCAATCGGATCATTGGGTTGGACTTCTTTTACCTGTCCTTCGGTGGTCGAACCTTCGCATTTCTTAATGCTGTGTGTCATGGAACCAATTTCCAACAGGTTGGCATGTTGAAGAACTATGACGGGGGAGTTCCTTCTTCCAAGGAGACCTGGTCATTGTTTTCGAAAATTTGGATTCAGCCTTTTGGCATACCAGAAACTATGGTGTGTGATGGGGGTTCTGAATTTAAGCAGCACTTTGAACGAGCCGCAGAACAGCAGGGCATTTTGCAGATCATCACGGACGCGGCGTCCCCATGGCAAAATGGGCGTGTGGAGCGCCACGGCGGTTGGGTCAAGGACAGGGCAGAGCTAGAAATCAACTCGGGCCAGACTGTACTCACAGACTCTCACGATCTGGAAGAACTCATTCTCGCCACCGTTTCTTGCAAGAACAGGTGGTACTCCAGAGGTGGCTACAGCCCATGTCAACTTGTTTTTGGCGTCAACCCTCGAGTCCCAACAGAACTTCTTTCTGATGATGCTCTACAGGAACTTGGGTGGGAAGAGATCGAGTGTGATGCCTTTGATCAGGATACGGCTACAGCCGCTTACAATCGATCTCACCAGATTCGTCAAAAGGCAAGGCAGTTGTGCATCGAAGCAGCTTGCAGGGACCGAATCAAATCCAGCATCAAACAGAGAACTCACAAGCAGCGACAGTGGGCAGTCGGACAGTGGGTCCATGTTTGGAGGAAGTTCCCTGGGACAGGACAAGGGCATCTGACGAGGGCTCGATGGACTGGTCCAGGTGTGGTAGTTCTGCAAGCAGGACACACAGTTTGGGTGTCCATGAGAGCCAGACTGTGGAAGTGCAATAGCGACCAGCTGAGGCCAGCCACTCATCACGAGTCGATAGGAGCAGACATGGCTCGATCAGGTGAGCTGCAAGACCTCATTGCTCAAGGAAGATCGACGAAAGCAGGTGCTGTCGATGTCACGACAGAAGGTACACCAGACGATACAGGTGACGGGAAAGTTCCCTCCATCGAGATTGACAAGCCCATGGTTCAGGAGTCGATTGCTCATGATTTGAGAACAGCTGACACAGCAAAAGACATCGAGTCAGAGGGGCAACATCTTCCCCTCAGACAAGTATCTGTTCCCAGGCCAGTCATTCCAGAAGAAACAGAGGGCTCCGTCGCTGACACCGTGAGTGAAGCCACCGCGGGCTCCAAGAGAAAGTCTCGGCACAGTGATCAGGACTCTGCATCCAACAAGAAAAAGATTGTGGAAGAGACCGTAGTCAAGCGACCAGTAGAAGACCAAGAACAAGCAAATCTTGAGAAGATAGCGCTAAAAACACTCAGAAGGTTGGAGCGCGAAGAGAAGATGAGAAAGATCAGTGAAAGGAAAGAAGCTGTCGCTTCGGCTTCATCGGAAACGCCAAATCAGGAGACTACCTCCTCCAGTTCCAGCATGGCATTACAACAACCGTCCACTGAGACTTCAGCAGATGGCTTCGCACCTCAAGACGCCTTGATGGCGGAATTGACAGAGCAAGGCCTCAGTTTTCTGGAGCTCAAGATTGAGGACTCGTGTCTGATGACCAAGCCCGTCAAAACGAAGTCTCAAGAATTTGACATGAAGCTTGCCACGGATGAGGAGAAGAAAGGCTTCAAGGCTTCCGACGAGGCCGAGTGGAAGACCATACTGGACCTGAAGGCAGTCGAGGTGCTAAACCCTGCTGAGTCGAGGAAGGTTCGTCGTGATCATCCGCATCGCATTCTTCCATCTCGGTTTGTCAGAAGAAAGAAGCCTATGCCGGGACTGGGACAGTGGAAATTCAAATCCAGATGGTGTGTGCTAGGTCACTGTGACCCTGACACTGGTTCATATTCGACGTATTCTCCCATGCCTATGACAGAGAGCATCTCTATTTTCTTCCAGTTGTGCACCAACATGGACATGTCTGTCACGTTTTGTGACGTGACACAAGCATTTTGTCAGTCAGAGCCTCTTGATAGACCGGAAGGAGACTTGTATGTTGAAGCTTGCGAGGGCCTAGGTCTTCCAGAAGGCACAGTCATTCGACTAGTGGCTCCAGTGTACGGGCTTGAAGACGCCCCCCTCCGATGGCATCAGACGGTCATCAATTTTCTACGCTCGCTAGGCTTCGAGAGGAGTCTCTTGGAACCATGCTGGTATGTGAGAAGGGATGCCAGAAATGAGGTCGAGGCCATGATTCTAGTAGAAGTTGACGATCTGAATGTGGCCACCAGGAAAGACGTCAAGGATGAACTCCTTTCAGCTCTGAATCAGCGTTTCCGCTTTGGGAAGATGGAATATGATGAGGCAGACTTCGCTGGGAGACACGTTCGAGTTCTTCCTGGAAGAATCGAGATGAACCAGGAGAAGTACATCATCGAGAAACTTCATCCTCTTAAGCTGCCTCTTGGTCGCAAGGGCGACAAGTCAAGCAGACTGAAACCGGATGAGTTTGAAGCTTTTAGATCCATGCTTTACAAGGTCGCATGGGTCGCACACCAGACTAGGCCAGAAGCTGCAGGAGTCGTGAGTATTTTGTCTTCCAGGCTGAAAGAAGGAACCATTGAAGATGTCTCATGCCTGAACAAGCTCATTCAACATCTCAGAAATACTGCACAGCAATCGCTCACCTTGCATCGCTTCAGCAATGATAAGATGATCCTCATTGCCGCCTCAGATGCCGGTGGCGTGGACAGTCTACCTCCTGACAAGTCCTCAGAGATAGACAATGTTCAAGGAGCGTGGATAATCATGGCTGCTGACAGACTTCCTAGCGCGAATCAGAGAATCAAGGTTAGCATTTTGAGCTGGAGATCATCGAAGCTAAGACGGAGAGTCGCATCAACACTTGCCAGTGAAGCACTAGCCTTTAGTCAGTCACTGAGTGAAGTAGAATGGATTCAGATCATGATTAGAGACATCATCAAAGGTGATGTCAAAAGGACAGACTGGACCGAGTCTCTGACACCATATGTTCCAGTTTTGAAGGAAAACTGCGAATTGGCAGAGAAGTTAGAGCAGTGTCATGTCACGGATGCCAAGAGCCTGTTTGATGCCTTGAAGAAAGAATCTCCCATGTCTAGACAGGACAGACGCACCTCGGTCGAGCTCAGCATAATTTTAGAAGCTCTTCAGAAAGCTAGAAGTGTGATCAGATGGGCTCCTCATCCACGAATGGTAGCCGATGGGCTTACTAAAGCCGATATCACACGCACAAATGGTGCATTAGAAGAACTGCTGCGGACCTCTCGCCTCACCCTCTGGGATGAGAAGCAAGAGCTGAATCTTCGTAAAGATGATCCAGCTGCGAAAGGACGATCGAGAAGAGCGTCCACCAGACACCGTTCGCTGGAGGCCAGTGAAGAGTCCTTCGCTCTTTTGAGTCGAATCAACAAGAACTTAGGGGTGCTGTCTCAGGTTACCTTCTTTACTTGCTCGTGCATGTCGTGGAAAAGGCCGAGTTCATCCGTCCCTGCGGCACTTGAGAAACAGACAGGTGCTTCTCTTTGGAAGAACCATCCATCCCTCATAGTGTACCCCGCTGGAACTCGAACTCGAACTGGAACCGGACCCCCCCCCCCCGCAAAAAAATATTCGACACTAAAGTGACATTGGCCATCACGTCCAGACCCGGGCCCAGAATGGGAACTGGAAGTGGAACTGGAACTCCACCCCCCCCCCAAAAAAATTGACGCTAAACTGACGTTGGCAATCACGTCCAGACCCGGGCCCAGAACTGGAACTGGAACTCCCCTCCCCCCTCCCCATGCAGTCTCCCGTGTTGGACGGCGTGGAACTGAAACTGGAACTGGAACTCCCCTCCCCAGTCTCCTGTGTTGGACGACGTGGAACTGGAACTGGAACTGGAACTGAAACTCCCCTCCCCCCTCCCCAGTCTCCCGTGTTGGACGACGTGAAACTGGAACTGGAACTGGGACTGGAACTGAAACTCCCCTCCCCCCTCCCCAGTCTCCCGTGTTGGACGACGTGGAACTGGAACTGGAACTGAAACTCCCCTCCCCAGTCTCCCGTGTTGGACGACGTGGAACTGGAACTGGAACTGAAACTTCCCTCCCCCCTCCCCAGTCTCCCGTGTTGGACGACGTGGAACTGGGTTGGACCATGTGGAACTGTACCTCGCTGGAACTCGAACTCGAACTGGAACTGGAACCACCCCCCCCCCC